GGTGTAACCACCCACCGATGGCAGAGAATCGAGAAGAGAGCCGTAAGGAGCGAGAGAAACCGTGCGACGAAACGAGACGGAAGACACAGAGGGGGTCAGGAAGGGGTGGTATAATCGATGCGGACATGTGCAGTTCCCTCGGGGGTAGCAACCCCTAACTCGCCAAACCTATTTATACAACAATACCCGGTACAACCCCCCATAAACCAGGCTGACGGTGGACCGCCGTGGCTGCTGTTGCTGTTGCACACTCCACCACCCCGCTCTCGATGCCTTCGGTTTATAATCAACCCCTCTTTCTCTTTCACGGCTCCTAACCCCTCGACGATGCATGAACAGTTTATCTTGGGGCCCGCGCGACGAGGACTGGTATTTTAAATAGCAAATACTTATCTCGTTGCCGGGACGGGGTGGAACGATAAGCAGGTCGAGAGGGTAGATATGCACAAGAGACAACGCGTTGGGAAAAAACATAAGAATTCTTCTCTCTTTCTTGTCGAATATTGTTCGCTAGTTAATCGCTTTGGGAAATCAAAGTTTTTTCCGATTTTTTTAGAACTATTTAATAGGCGAGTACTTCAAAAATCAATGTTCTAAGTTTTGAAGTCTCAGAACGTCAAACTCCAATGTCTTCAAATTCCAATGTCTTTGAGTTCTGAGAGACTTCTGATGTTTTAACCCTTTGCGCTCCAGAGGCTCCTCTCAAGCAGCCTTCGACTTAATACAATAATTTGAAATAAGCATTATTTATTTAATTCTATAATAGTGCTCCTGTGATGTATAAACATAGTGAAATAGACAATAGTGGAAATTATTAGTAAAGAAATAATAACCATAAAAGAACTCATTTAATATTTTAATTAATATTTTAAAGTTGCTGTTTGTAAACAATAAAATTATCTTCGAGTGCGAAGGGTTAAAATATTGAACATCTACAGATCCCTAAATTTCAACCACCACAAAATCCGTATGTCTAAAGTCCGAAAGGTCTAAACATTCCAAAGTCTATAAGTAAGTTCCACAATTTCAAACGTATCAAAGCCTTCGTACCGAACCAAAGTCCATAACTCTGAATGTCCCAAAAATCCTAAGTTCCAGAGAGTAAAAATTCCAAATGCTTCAAAGTCTTTAAGTTTCCAAGTTCCTAAGTACCAAAATTCCAGATGTCCTAAAGTCGCAAACCCGAAGTCCTCAGGCCCCTAAAGTTCGTAATCCCAAGTGCTAAATTTCTAAAGTAAAAAATTCCAAATGACCAAAATTGCAAATCGCCAAAATTGCAAAGTGATGAAAGTGGAAACGTGGAAGTTGCCAAAACCGACATCGAAGATCTTGCGAAATGTACTTGACGCGTTACGGAAAGTTTGAGAATTCATCGTCGTTCGAGATCCGCAATACGGGCCCCTTATCATTTAATGCTGTACTCATGGAATAACGTATGTATACTTAACACGCGAAATAAAGCGATCCACGCACGACGACGACGTCGTTATTTACATACGTACGTCGTCGAGTGGCTCGGTAATAAGAACACGCCATAAGAACTTCCGTTCGGAACGGACACGCTTATAGGCAGGAGTGCGTGTGTGCACGTGATTCAACGGATCACCTCGTACAATCCGTAACAATTATCATAAGTATATTTTATGCATATCGTGTTCTTAACGGATATAAATTCGGAAACGTATGGAACCGACGCTTTTTCCTCTGACAAACGAAATTCGTATGGCCAGATCTCGAGCTAATCGAGATCCGGGGATAAAAAGAAACGAGAGCGAGGTAAAGAAAGAAACACGACCTATCGGTGTTACACGACCAGTACCCGTAAGACTGGACCAGCTGAGGCACGAGTAATCCGGATTTCGGATTAGCCTAAGCCAGCCTGAACACCAGGAGGTCGTTCTGGACACTTCTGTCGTGTCTGTCCGGTTCAAGCCAGACGAAAATAAGTCGCGCCACGAAAAGACACGTTTCATCCAGAGCCGTTCTCGATCGCTGACAACGTCCCTTAGACGTTTCCATTGTGTCTCGATATTCAAGAAATTCGGACGCTTCCACGAACACTCGCTTCGCCGAACAATCGAAACCGACGTGAAACAATCAACCAACTCCGCCATGTTTACGGAAGAAAACGAACAATTCAATTATACTCTACGATACGAGTGCAACTTTAGGCTCCTCTACTATTTCTACGATTTACGAACTTTTCGAGGTTTTTGGAGTCTTTGGGACTTTTAGGGATTTAGGAATTTGGGGATTTGGAGATTTACAGATGTGGAAATTTGAGAAATTAGAGATTCAGAAATTCAGCAATTTGGAGACTTAAGAATTTAGAACTTTGGAGATTTGAGATTTCGAGATTGTGCAATACTTGGACTCGTAGATTCACAAATTTGAGACTTCTGAGAGTTGGCAATACGGGAATTTGAAGAAGTCGAAATTTGCAAGTGTGGATTCAGTGTCCAACGGTCTGCAAACTTTGGAACTGGTGACTATGAATTTGGAAATTGCTATGTGAAAGTTTGAGGATGAGAGCTTCGTGAATATAGTACTTCAAAATTTGAAAATTTGGATACTTCTAAAAGTCTATAATTTCCCAGCTCCAGCACTTTGAATTTGTAACTACTAAAGCCCCGAACTTAATTCAAAAACACAACAAAATTTCAAGACCGTAATTTTGGCACTTAGAATTCTAATCGTAAGCAATTTCGAGAATCCAGCGATCAAACGGCAGGGTTAAGGGTTAATTGCTCCGCTTAATTCGAGACAGCGAGTTAACGTGCGAGGGTAACGTGCGTAAGCAGGGTGTGATTTTGTAATGTCTCCTTATATAATGATAGAAGAAAGACAGCAGGGTATACGGGACAGGGGTTTGTTTCCCGACACGTGTTCGGGCACGTGAGTATTCGAAACGCTTTCGACTGTGACACGTAACAACCCCTACGTCTTAGTTCTCCCTCGTCCCGTATCATTTTACGATAAAAATTCGTCTCCACATTGTATGGTCCATACCGATCGATTATCAATGAAATTGACAATGTGCACCTGACGTCAATTTGTTCCTTGCAGAATAGTTTATTAGTGATATTATGTTGCGTAAGAATTCCGACTGAAATACTGTTCTTTACGTCAACGGAGGGTTCGAAAACTGATAGGGTGAATAGCGACCCGCTGGGACGGTTTGTCTCTGCACGAGTCCCGCGAGAATAGTGGTAGATCCTGGGGGCGCGGAGGCGGACACGCATCTGTCGAATCTCCCGATGGATCTTCTACCAGAGATCCGTCAGGACACGCATTACACGCTACGCTGACGCTCTTCGTACTGCGAAATCGTTGTTACAGTGTACACATCGTCCACGAGCTATTCGCTTCATTCCGACACTCGGTCAATAATGACCTTCCACTTTTGTTACTTTGCAAAATCAATCATTGAATCACATTCGCAAATTTTCCTGTGAAATTCACAGTCCTAAACTTCCAGGGTTTCAAGCTCCATTTTCACATTTAATCAGTTTGTCAAATTCCTGAATTTCTTGAATGTGAAATTTTATGGTGCACTTCAAACTGCATCTTTCCTAATCTTGCATATATATTATTATTAGATAAAAAATTTTTAATGCTTCTCTCGAAAACAATATATAAGAAGAATTCGAAGCTTGAGATGTTCCAAAAGCCGAGGATGGTAAAGGACGAGTTAAATATTTAAAAGACGGTAGTCGCAAGGCACGTTTTCACGCCACTGAAAAATAGACAACTACCTGGGGAGCACGGTAAACTGTGACAGCGTGCCAGTCTCTGTACACGTACTTAAGAGACTCGTAGGAGTAGAGGTCGTGGGGGGTCGACGACGTGTACACACGTTTGTACGTGGAAACACACGGGGATGTAGCAAGCATCGTTTCTGTCCCCAGCGGGACTGTCATGGGATACAGAAACGGCGCCCCGAAGAACCGTACCGACCCCTGGAGGGCAGAAACACATCAAAATCGAATTCACCAGATGTCCAGGAAAACGAATCTACCGTCCCTTTCCTACTAGAAAACGACGTTGCACTGGATAACGATGTTAGGGCACCAGAAGAACCCCCCAGGCGCAGATGCGTTTGCGGACCACGATTTAGAGGGCAAAAGGATTCGATGCTCTCGAGCTCGATGGTCTCAGGTGCTTGGCCCGTTGGGAATCAAAGAAACACAGATTTTAGGGATGAAACCGATTCGAAGTGTATACGTTTATCGAAGTTGTTAAATTTTTTTATTTTATGGGACTGATGGAAACACTGTCCAAGCTATTTCTTTTAAATAACATATTTATAATGTTACATGTAATTTTTATTAATAATGTAAATTAATTTTGTGACCTGAAATGTAACTTAAAATCAATACACGTGTGAACATATGTTAAGTGAAATATGGTGAAATACGGTCAGGTGTAACCTTACCTAACCAGGTTACATTTCACTATATAATTTTATCAAATTATATAAAGTTAGGTTAAGTAAAATTTTGCTAATAAATTTAGCTTAATTTTGTAACCCAAAATGCAACCTAAAATCTATACACATGTGATCATATGTTAAGTGGAATTTGGTGAAATACGGTCAGGTGTAACCTAACCTAACCAGGTTACATTTCACTATATAATTCTATCAAATTATATAAAGTTAGGTTAAGCAAAATTTTACTAATAAACTTAGCTTAATTTTGTAACCTAAAATGCAACCTAAAGTCTATACACATGTGAACATACGTTAAATAAAATATGGTAAAATAAAGTCAGGTGTAACCTAACCTAATCAGGCTACATTTCACACAACTCTATCAAATTATATAAAGTTAAAATTTTACTAATAAGCATAACAGTATATAAAACACTTTATCACAATACTCATGCAACTTGCATAAAGTTGAAATTACTTACCCTTGAATCTCGAAAGCAACATTTCCTTCGATAAAAGGGAACAAAAGAACAAAAGGGTTGGTAATAAATTGCGACACAACTGTACGTATACGGAAATACGAGGTGGTTTATTATAATAATATTTATAATCATTATGCATCGCGGCGGCGTGTCTCCTTCTCTCTTGTGACGATTGCAATGCAGTTACAATTACAAACACGATTCGGTGATGTAGAATCCAACCAACGTTTAAATCGCGCGCTCTCTTCGCAACGGAAAAAAGATAAAGAAAGACAGTTTATTTACATCGATCGCCGCCTTAACAGTTACAGGTTACACATTCCTATTTATATTTATACTTTAATGATAATTAGTACAACGTTGTTAAGTGTAATTACGCACGTGTTCCTCTGTGTCACCTGTATTCGAGTAACTGTTTCGCGGTGTTTGTGTTGTTCACGTTGCACGTACTTCCGTTCGAAAATTTGGAGGCAATTTTGAAATCAACAAGTTTCGTTAAAAATATTGCACTTATGACTTCGTAGAAATATTCAAGTTAACCTGATAGAACCTGAGAAAAGATACATTTCTGAAAATTTATTTCTGTACCGAAAGTATCTTGGATGAAAATTTTCATTGAAGACTTGTATGGGTCTTTCTAATTTTTCCCGAGGGATATGGTGGTCGAGTACCATCGTGTTGGACGGTAGCCATGTTTGTTTCTAGCATATATGTTCAGTGTGTATACCATTCACACAAGTGTTCATGAAAAATTTTGATCGAAGTATTTCTAATACTTGAAAATGAATTTTCAATAATAAAGTATCTTTTAAACTGGTCAAGACATTGAAATGCTCCAAACTGTTGAACAGTAGAAAACCGTACGAACAACGTGCAATTGTGTAGGTGTCTCGGTTGTATAGAACAGCAGATATCTACAGGATGTTCCTTAAAGTAACGTCGAAAATTAATCAACAGGGAGGGTATAATATTACACGATAGGACATTCGAAATTTTATACACAATAATATTAATAATAATATTCAATAATCCATAATAATAATAATAATAATAATAAAATAGTAACTTCGATGTTAACCGACGGGCATAATAATTAATAATAGAGAATAATGTTAATAATGGACAATGATAACCGTGAAAAAAAGTAAAGAAACGATAGTTAAACGATCGATCGTTATATCTTACAGAAACGAAAACTTACAAAGATTTAAAAAATATCGACTTCGCGAAGAGCCATGCCCTTCCTTCGGCCGTGGACAGAAGTCTCGAACCGCAACAAAGTCGAACGGCTTCGCCATCGGGTGCGAGCGATCGATTTTTCTCGGAACTATCGACTTGGCTCGCTTTGTGGGCCGATGGAAAGCAACGAAATACGAAAACGAACGATAATTAAAACTCGTACTACCAGGCCAGACCTTCGCTCTGCATCTGGTGCGGCTCCAGGAACCCACCCCCGCCGCCACCGCCACCTGGACCACCACCGTTTCCACCGGCACTGGGATTACCCTGTGCTCCACCTGAGAAATAGCCGTCCATTCCATTTTAAAATCGCCGTGGGATCAACAAGATGATAGACACCATAGACTTTATTTCGAATTAACTGGGCATTAATTCTGATCAGCTCATAATGGATTATTGCACGATGAGAACATATTATGCTCATAGAGCGATTAGGAGGATTTAGGTGAGTTTGGAGACATTGAACGTGTCTGATATGTAGCGTGGTTAACCCCTTAAGAACTTAATACGTGGACTGGGTCACAGACCTCTAGATTGATTGATCATTTTATTTCGATGTCTTGAATTTTTCTCGTTTCGCAGTCTTTAAGTTTGTAAATATTTGAGGGTTGTAAATTTGTAAATTCCAGAAACCCCACATATCCAAATTTCTAAGTATCTAAAATTCCTAAATCTCCCAAAATTTCTAACTCCACAATTCCCAAATACCGAAATATCCCAAAATTCCCGAATCACGATGCTTCAAACATTCCACATATTAGTTCACCACATTATAGATCGCCACACACTACACTTGTGATATAACTCACGCGTCTCCACATAATTTCATTTTTATCATGTCGTATTTATTAGCGCCACCGTAAATCTCGCGCACACGTTCAACATCCACAAACGAACCTTTATATATAAAACATATAGGCATTTAGGACATAATTTCCAACCTATACAATTTCCAGCCTACATAATATATTACAGAAAATATTATAATAGTAAGATTGACTAGTCCTTTGTCAAAAGGAGCAGGTCGTACCTGAAGGTGCTAGGAACTCAGGACTACCGCCAGGAGGTGCAGGGGGCCCCTGTCCAGGAGGGCCCGTGAGAAATTCCGGAGGGCCACCTCCCGCACCCGGAGGTGGATATTCCCCTGTCACCGCCACTGCGGCTGCCATACCCGCTAAACTCGCCGGGTCCAAACCTGTCAGAAACAGATTACGTACTATTCAGAGAGGATCGTATCCGACCAGCTATCTCCGAACCCGGCTGTCATAATTATCGCGACCTACCTACCCGCTACGATGTTTATTATAGGCGCTATAGAATTTCGAGACACCGGTGCCGATTTCGAGGACACCGGTTGCGAAATCTACCGGTTAGACACATAATTCCTACTCGTGGAATATTATTCAAATTTTGCTTCGTTATTTACGAATTATTCACTTATGAATTTGGGAAGCTTGCAGTACTTGCAGAGATATATTTTTGCATATCATATATGTTCCATTTGAACTTGTACTCGTTTCGGAACAAATTTATATTTTGAACTTTAATATCGTAATTTTAATATCGTAAGATTAGAGATACTCGTAAGGAATGCTTGTAATACTTATACTCGAATGAATACTCGAGCAAGTATTATTCTTGTAGAATGTATAAAGAAATGTTGAAGAAGACTTACCAGGATTACCGGGTCCGCTGAAGGGCGGTCCATGAGGATGAGGAGGTTGATGAGCACCGAAGAATTCATGGTGAAACGCCATGGGTCCGCCGTAACCAAAATCGAATTTTTCCGCGCTGAAATATGGAAAACCAGGCGGTGGTCCGTCTTCGCCGCCCAAAGCACCGGGATTCAGGTTCAATGGGAAACCCCTCATTTTTCTGGAGCCTCCGAAGAACGGGCTCCTGCCCATCGACGTCAGTTGTTTTAACCTGCGCTCCTTGCTCCTTTTATTTTGAAACCAGACCTGCAACCAGACGATTCGACCGACTGCTTTTTTATTGAATTTATTGATTTTAGAAAATGCTGTTTCAACCATTTTCGATTTCGTGTATTCTTTGAGGAGAAACATAAAATGTATAGAGTGGAACAACGACATGAAATGAAGTAAGACACGAAGAGCATTAAATGATACAAATGCATCGAGTGCACTAAATGCATGAACTGCATCCGCTAAACTCGCCGGGTCCAAACCTGTCAGAAACAGATTACGTACTATTCAGAGAGGATCGTATCCGACCAGCTATCTCCGAACCCGGCTGTCATAATTATCGCGACCTACCTACCCGCTACGATGTTTATTATAGGCGCTATAGAATTTCGAGACACCGGTGCCGATTTCGAGGACACCGGTTGCGAAATCTACCGGTTAGACACATAATTCCTACTCGTGGAATATTATTCAAATTTTGCTTCGTTATTTACGAATTATTCACTTATGAATTTGGGAAGCTTGCAGTACTTGCAGAGATATATTTTTGCATATCATATATGTTCCATTTGAACTTGTACTCGTTTCGGAACAAATTTATATTTTGAACTTTAATATCGTAATTTTAATATCGTAAGATTAGAGATACTCGTAAGGAATGCTTGTAATACTTATACTCGAATGAATACTCGAGCAAGTATTATTCTTGTAGAATGTATAAAGAAATGTTGAAGAAGACTTACCAGGATTACCGGGTCCGCTGAAGGGCGGTCCATGAGGATGAGGAGGTTGATGAGCACCGAAGAATTCATGGTGAAACGCCATGGGTCCGCCGTAACCAAAATCGAATTTTTCCGCGCTGAAATATGGAAAACCAGGCGGTGGTCCGTCTTCGCCGCCCAAAGCACCGGGATTCAGGTTCAATGGGAAACCCCTCATTTTTCTGGAGCCTCCGAAGAACGGGCTCCTGCCCATCGACGTCAGTTGTTTTAACCTGCGCTCCTTGCTCCTTTTATTTTGAAACCAGACCTGCAACCAGACGATTCGACCGACTGCTTTTTTATTGAATTTATTGATTTTAGAAAATGCTGTTTCAACCATTTTCGATTTCGTGTATTCTTTGAGGAGAAACATAAAATGTATAGAGTGGAACAACGACATGAAATGAAGTAAGACACGAAGAGCATTAAATGATACAAATGCATCGAGTGCACTAAATGCATGAACTGCATCAAATATACTGAATGCACTAAATGCAATGAATGAACTAACTACGCTACGTACATCAAATGCACTAAATGCATCAACTGCTTTAAACGACATGTATCAAATGCACTAAATGCACCAAGTTCATCAAATATACCGAACGCACTAAATGCAATAATTGTAATGAGTACTTTAGATGTGACAAGTTTATGAAATGTATCAGATGTATCAAACATGTGAATGTACCAAATGTATCAAGTATGTGAAACGTATCAAATATATCAAATATACGAAATGCATCAAATGTATCAAATATGTGAAATGTATCAAATATATAAAATATTTGAAATATATGAAATGCATCAAATATGTGAAATGTACCAAATATATCAAATGCATGAAGTGTATGAAATATTTCAAATATCTGAAATGTATCATATGTATCAAATATGTGAATGTATCAAATATATCCCATATGTGAAATGTATCAAATATATAACATGTCTGAAATGTATCAAATGTATCAAATACATGAAATGTATGAAACGTATCAAACTTCTTAAATGTATCAAACAAGTAAAATATGTAAAATGTATGAAATGTATGAAATGTATTACAGAAGTAATAAAGTATAAATAAAAAAAAGATTGAAGGTATGAACCTGTATCACTCTCATGGGTAGTCCAGTCTCTTTCGCTAACTGTTCCCTGATGTGCCTGGTGGGCTTCGGAGTCGACGAAAATGCGGACTTGAGAATCTCCAACTGTTTCGCCTTTATGGTCGTTCTTGGACCTCGCCTCTTTGAGCCGGCGCCCCCATCGCCGCTACCACCGCCCGCACCACCGTCCGGACTTTTGTTCTCCGTTTGGCTATCCCTCGTCTCGGGATCTCCATCCAGGGAACCTTCGACCAGACCAAACAAAACCCGTTTAATAATCGATTATCGACGTTCGGCTCAGGCAAACACTTGTTTCGTGAGAAACAAGTGCGATTGCATCGCGTTACTCTACCTCTCACCCATCTTTAGGATGTACTTTAAGTTTAAATTGGAAGTAGGAATAATTTTGGAGACTCAGAGAAATTTAGGTAGAGTTCAAATAGACTGGTGTTTAGGGACATTTGTTTAGGAGAAATTTTGGTAAAATAAGTGGAGGATCAGGGAGAGTTTGAGAAATGTGGAGGCTAGAAAGAATTCAAACAGAGAGATGGAATTTGGAGACATTTGTAGTTTAGGAGAAATTTTGGTAAAATAAGTGGAGGATCAGGGAAAGTTTGAGCAATGTTTAAGTGGACTAGGAAGAATTTAGGAATAATATAAATAGGGGTCAGAAGAAATTTAGGGTTAATGTAAGTTTGGGGTTTAGATAGTCTAAGCATGTGAGACAACTCAGATGAGAATTTAGGGGGTTCTAGGAAGAGCCCAAGAAGAATTTGGGGAAGTCTCAGTAAGTTTGAACCTAACCTAACTTAGCAACATCTACTCATAGGTTTCCCAATTTGAATATTTGTCACCATCGCTACTCGAGTATGCACCCCAGTACTCCGCAGGCATTTCACGTACAGTTCATAAAATTTGATAGAAAATTAAACCACGATTACCCACGGGGATAATCAGTTCAGCCACGATTTGGCTAGCACCTAAACAATAATCTTTTTCGCCAACCGCGTTCTTAGCAACAAAGCATTTCATAATACACATATCTCGGAATCTTGATCGGTCGGATCGAGGTAACAACAATCGTAGCCAATCCCCCGGAAGCGATGCGAAACCCCCATCGGATTATCGTGGCTGCTCTACGCTTGAAAGCTATACTCCATAACGTGAACGTGTGCGTGTGTACACGTACAATGAATAACGCGGGTAGACAGGCACACGTATAGACAGAATAGAAGGCCAACTCTTCACGATAATCTATATATACCCGGGGAGGTCTTAACCACGGGACAAAGAAAATGTTTGGACAGTGTCACACCGCACTACAGGGGCCACCCTTCGCGAAAGGCACCCCAAACACCCCCTCTCCCTGTCGTCGTGCCACGGAAGATGGTTGTACCGGGTATAGCGTGCCTCGAGAGAGGTAAAATCGAGGGGTGATTGTTACGGTGTACACGATAAAAGAGCAGAATAGACGCGCTTAGTAATTCGGCACCAGGTCAAGCCACCGAATTTCTACCCTCCTTAGAACAAGATTAAGTCGTTTGTCTCGATTGTCTTCTGTAAATCAAGTTCATTACTAATTCTGCTGTAACAGGGAATCAATTGTTTGGGTCTAAGCACCCGAAATATGTACCGGTTAAAACTTTGACGACGATTATTTCGCTTGTCGACGAGTATTGCGATTTGAATGTGCTTGAAGGGTCGTCTGATCGCTCTTGCAAAAGTACATCAAAATCAAAGAGTCTGTACTCTTTCTGTATATACTGTATTGTATGTATCTTCTGTACGTATGTTAGTTTTGGGGATGTATGAAGTAGTTCTTTAGGTGACAAATATCCTATGTACTCTTAATTATTCCAGTGAAAATTTGTATATTATGAATTATAAATAATTTTGATAAATACAAGCTTGTCCTAAAATATCTGACATGTCACCCATTAAAAATGAAGCTCCTTTATTTTAAGAATTTATTTTAGGTAATAATTGACAACGGAGTTATGGAGATATAACAAAGAGCCAGAGGAACAAGAGAGCTCTTTTTAGCAAGAAAGAATAAACTGTAAGAGTACATTCGAGAGTGATAAAGAAAATGGAACTTACCTTGATCCTCGGAGTCCTCCTGCTTACAAGAATCACTTCCAAGAGGTAGATCTCCAGAGTGGCCGACCGTTTGATCACCAGGACCACCTGGACCCAGATTATGGGGTCCCAGGTGAGCACCTCCGACACCGGTATGATGGTGGTGACCACTACCGTCTTCGTCCTCGTCTTCCGATCCTGAACCCATCAACGAGTCTCCTCCTGTCGACAGGTTGGACGATTCTGCTCGTGAACGATTCGAATCGTATGTTTTAATCATTTCAGTCGTCGAATCATTTTGAAAAGAAAGTCACCTTTCTATTCAATGATTTTTTTTTTTGGTTTAGGAGACTTTGGAAGAGTTTGTGCCAGATTCGGTGTGGTTTTAGACTGATTTTAGATTCTCTCGATTTGCAGTGCTATTGACGTTTATTTGTATTAATATAGTTTTCAAATTTGCAAGTTTTTTAATTTTTGAATTGATATATTTTTAGGAGGGTATATTTATGGATTCTGTGGATATCAAATTCCTAAGTTTCCAATTTCTCAAATTTCCAGATTTCTATATTTTCAAATCCCATGGGTCCCAAATTTCCAAGTTCTCGAGTTCCTAAATTTCCAAATCCATGATTTTTCAAATTTCTATATTTCCAATTTCCCAAATTTTCAAATTCTCAAATCTCCAGATTTCTATATTTGCAAATCCCTTTGAGCCCAAATTTCCAAGTTCTCGAATTCCTAAATTTCCAAATTCTCAGATTTGCAAATCCTCCACCCTTCAAATTTCTAAATTTCCAAATTCTCAGATTTGCAAATCCTCCACCCTCCAAATCCCTAAATTTCCAAATTCCCAAATTTGCAAATCCTTCACTCTCCAAATCCCTAAATTTCCAAATTCTCAGTTTTGCAAATCCTCCACCCTCCAAATCCCTAAATTTCCAAATTCCCAAATTTGCAAATCCTCCACCCTCCAAATCCCTAAATTTCCAAATTCCCAAATTTGCAAATCCTCCACCCTCCAAATCCCTAAATTCCCAATCTCCCATCTGTCTAATCCAAACCTCTCCCAAAAATCCTTCCAACCCAAAATTTCTAAGTCCCCAAATTCCTAAACATCCCAACACCTAAATTCCAACCCTCCTCTCTCGAATCATTATTATTCCAAACCCGCCTAAATTCAGACGCGAAAGAAAAATAAACGCCCATCAAAACGATCGAGATTTTTCATTTTTTTTCTCGAAACAGGCACAGGAGGCAAAAGAGAGGGAGATCACGGTCCGACGCGTTCGACGCCCGAGATTTCACGGAGTCAGGATCGCTCTAAAAAAAAGCGAGGGTCCGGGGGTGGGTTTTTCACGGGGGTTTCACCCCGGCTGAACGGCAAGCTGTGAAAACAGCGTGCATGTAACCGACCGTCAGCCACCAGCCGAACGAGAAACAGAGAGGCGGCATAAAAGGGAGAGAACGAGAGATAGAGAGAGGGCAACAGCTCGGTTTCACGAGGGCCACGCTGATGTGTAAGCCGTGAAACGAAAACCGAAAGGTCGTTAGGCAGGGGCAAACCTTTTGTCGCTTCGATGCCGACGACGTCGAAACCGCAAAACGTCCGGCAAGTCGTTTTCGTTTTCTTCTTGGGGCACACGGTGCCCTCTTCTTCAGACGATGCTTTCGCGCGCGCCAGACCGTCGTAATCGCTTCGACGTCACGACGCGTTCACCGACGATTATTCGACGCTTTACATCGTTTAAAATCATACTGAGTTTATTACGGTGAAATCGATTTGTTCTATGAACCGCAGATTTTGAGGAGATAGGGACATTATGTGAGATGACGTATTTAACTGAAGGGGGTTGATGATTGGGATCTTCGCGTGACAAAATGAGGAACATTTTGTTGTAACACGAGAAGTAACGGATCAGATAAAAATGACAAGAATTTATTTTATGGTCTCATTAAACATTTCTGCGATCAACCTCTTATATCTGACTCTTGCCAAATACTTTGCTACTATTAAAACATTTATTTATTAAGGAAATCTTAAATGTTAATCAACAAAATAATTTCCATAATTTCTTAACGCTTTTTGCCAGCGTATAGGCAATGGTTCCAAACCTTCTTAAAAAAAGTTCTCCAATTTTTCATTAAAAAACTTTGAAGTCATCGAAGAAATTTTGAATACCTTTCACTACCCCTAAATTTAAATACTATGATTTTATGCATCTCTTAATATACGAGCAACGTAATCTAAATTAAAAAGCAGGTTCCCAAAAAAAACAGCAAGTGTTCAACCCTCAGGGTGACTCCACAAAAACGATAGGCCATAAAATCGCTCAATAAAGTTTCATCGAAATGTCACAATTAGAATAGGGGTAATTAAGCTGATTCGAATAGGTTTAGGAAGCAACATTTGAAAGAGAGAGAAAAAAGTACGCATAAGGGGACGATTACCTGTTTCGATGATCAAACATCATGACGTCTGGATGTTCCAACGCGTTTCCGACATTAATCTCTATCACCGAGCGGCCATTTGTCAGTTGTCGAATTCGCGGTGATCGTCTGCGGCGCACGTGAAAAGCGCAGCAATTACGCGGGCCGCGCGTCGATTAATCAGCAACGTTTATCGATAACTTTTAGAGTCTTTTGTCGGTGAATACGCGAAATTACGATGCGAAACGCTCGGCGGTCGCGGGAAAGGACGATTTTTCGAAAAATCATAATGAACGCGTACGCATCCCGCGATACACGCTTCCAGAAGCGAATAACCGTAATCACGTTTAATTGCTAATTTCGTACGGAACATCGACAAATTTACTCGTCCCGTTGATAAATTATGTTCTATTTACTATAGCGGATATTCGTTGCTTTGTACGGCCGCGTGTGACGTTGATGGACGCAATTTTACAACGAAATTTTGTAATTCTGCCCTCTACTACCGTCGTTTTTATTGTACCCTCGCGTTCCACATAATTACAGGATTTTCACATAATTTCTGTACCAAAGGAATTTTCAAAGAATTTGATTATGTTTTTGTTCATGTTGGAATTTATGAATTTGTCCATGTGGTAATTTATGAATTTGTCTATGTTGAAACTTATGAATTTGTTCATGTTGTAATTTATGAATTTGTCCATGTTGTAATTTATGAATTTGTCCATGTCGGAATTTATGAATTTGTCTATGTTGTCTTTTATGAATTTTTCCATGTGGTAATTTATGAATTTGTCTATGTTGAAACTTATGAATTTGTTCATGTTGTAATTTATGTATTTATTCATGTTGTAATTTATGAATTTTCCCATGTGGTAATTTATGAATTTGTTTATGTTGAAACTTATGAATTTGTCCATCTTGTAATTTATGAATTTGTCCATATTATAATTTATAAATTTGTCCATGTTTGTATTTATAAATTTGTCTATATTGTCACTTATGAATTTGTCCATCTTGTAATTTATGAATTTGTCCATACTATAATTTATGAATTTGTCCATGTTGAAATTTATGAATTTGCAGACGTGAACATTTAATTTGTGAATACAGAAATTTATGATTTTTTAAGTCCATATTATAGCAATTTGAAAGTCCATGAATTTGTAAGAATACAGAAACTTAAGACCGTAAAGATTTAACCATCTGAAAATAGAATAACACATAAACTTCTAGAATCTTTAAAATTCTCCAGTAATTTTCCAAACCTCAAACAGCAGAACACATGCAAAATCCCTATCCGCATAAAAGTCCCACCCTAATCACCTTGACTCTCTAAACCGATTCCGCGCCAAGTACAGACTTCAAACAGTCCTCAAACAACAGTCCATTTCGCAGTAAAAGTACGAAGAGTATTATAGAAGAAGTATAAAATTGCGAAGGTTTAAAATTCCGTCATGGAAAGTTCGATCGATATCCGAGCTCTGCAAATCCGATTCAAACGAACGAATGAAATGAAACGGACAAGGCGATTGTTATATCTGTTAGCGGTGGATAACGAGGTACAATGACACTTGTAACTCACCATGATGACCGTGCACGTGATGCGTGTCCGGCAACGGCTTGCCCGACAGGTAGTCCTGCTTGCAGACGAACTTGTTGTCGTCCAGGACGTAGAGCTCCTCTCCGGTGCTCATCTGCTTCCGACATACCAGGCAGGTGAAGCAATTCAAGTGGAAAACCTTGTCCCTTGCCTTCCTCACGAGGTCCTGGGGGCTTATCCCTTGGAGGCAACCGCTGCATTTCGTTCCGTATCGCCTGTAACAAACGTACACCCTCCATTTTACATATCTCATTTTTACTTTCATTTCACAATTTTGGGAATTATTGTTGATTGAAGGGGTATTGAATTTGGAGGGCTTGGGAAATGTGGAAGGTGGGGAATCTAGGAGTTGGGAAGGCTAGGAGTTGGGGAATCTGGAAGGTAGGAAATCTAGGAGTTGGGAAGGCTAGGAGTTGGGAAATCTAGGAGTTGAGGAATTTAGGAGTTGGGAAATCTAGGAGTTGGGGATTCTAGGAGTTTGGAAATCTAGGAGTGGTGGAATCTAGGAGTTGGGGAATCTAGGAGTTGGGGAATATAGGAGTGGTGGAATCTAGGAGTTGGGGTATCTGGGAGTTGGGGAATCTAGGAGTTGGAGACTCTAGGAGTTGGGGAATCTAGGAGTTTGGAAATCTAGGAGTTGAGGATTCTAGGAGTTGGGGTATCTGGGAGTTGGAGAATCTAGGAGTGGTGGAATCTAGGAGTTGGGGAATCTAGGAGTTAGGAAATCTAGGAGTTGAGGATTCCAGGAGTTGGAGTATCTGGGAGTTGGAGAATCTAGGAGTTAAGGAATCTAGGAGTTGGGATATCTGGGAGTTGGGGATTTTAGGAGTTGGGGAATCTAGGAGTGGTGGAATCTAGGAGTTGGGGAATCTAGGAGTTAGGGAATCTAGGAGTGGTGGAATCTAGGATTTGGGGTATCTGGGAGTTAGGGAATCTAGGAGTTGGCGACTCTAGGAGTTGAGGAATCTAGAAGTTTGGAAATCTAGGAGTTGAGGATTCTAGGAGTTGGGGAATCTAGGAGTTGGGGACTCTAGGAGTTGCAGAATCTAGAGTCTGCAAACTTGAGGGTTCGATGAAGAATGTGAGGGTTTGGAGCATTCGGAGAATTTGGGAACTAAAGGTTTGAAGGTTTGAAAGATTTGGAAATTTCTGAAAATTAGAGAAATACAGGAATTTGTGGATTTGTAGAATTTAGGATATGTGGAGAATCTGAGAAGCTTGGAAATCTCCGAAATTTGAGGACCATAGATTTGAGAATTTTGCCAATAAAATACGAATATCCCACAAATTCCTCCAAAGCACAAAAAAGTTCCCTACGCTTCCTTCTCACACTCCAGCCCGAAAATAATATTTAACGAATAAGTACAAAATGGAGAAGTAAATACACCGACATCCAGGGAGTTCAATAAACTTCCAGGTGCATTGCATAACTAATACTTGAGAGAACATGAATCGCGACTCGTAAAATTCACTTTTCTGTCATTAATACTCGTTTTGTCTTTTTTTTTTTTATTTTCGGTCATAAATTCGTGGACGAGTCGATGCCTCTCGAACGAAACGAAAAGGAAAGTCAATGTTACAGGACGACGACGTTTATTGAGCAGGGAACTTACAAGTCCTGTCATTAAGCCGCGCGACTCGCGAACGTCGATAAAAGAAATATGACGCTTTTAAACAGATAGGACTTTAACGTACCGATAGGGCATAAAAAGTTAAAACCCTTCAGTGCCGTAAAGGCGACTGGTGGTTACAAGCCTGTTCAATATTTTTCCTTCTTTTTCCTCGCGGTTTGCTACGTCCTACTTGTTAATTTCATATTAGTCGTTTATTATTTTCTATCTTGCCTTCGAAGCACCGATTCGTTCATTTTTTCTTTTTTATATGTTCAAATGTACAAGTACGAAATATTTTTAATATCTACCATTTTTATTAACTATTTTATATAGAATTTTATATCCTGACAATTGCGGGTACTCATGATTTTGAATCTTAAACTTCATTGTTTTTTTTACTCTGACAAATAGCTATTAAAAAGTTAACGATTTTGCAGCGTATATTGAATGACACTAGCATACAAAAAATGTGAGTATGCAAGAATTAAAATACAGAAGATCGATCGTAAAAGTTAACCTAAAAAGTCGATCCATTTAAAACCACGGCGCCATTTAACTTACCAAAGGTTGCACAGCAACATACACTTGAAATGAAATACGAAGTTTCAAACATATCAAATTTTGTAGAAAATGTATTATTTATGTAATACATCTAACAAAAAATGTTTAGGTAGTTCTACACAAGATCAATGTTGCCAGTGCAGAGCAACATTGTAACTTGAAATAAAATGCAAAGTTGATTTCATTGCAAACATATCAAATTCTATAAAAAATGTCTAATTTATGTAATACATCTAACAGAAAATATTTAGGTAGTTTTACACCAGGTATCAGTCGATGCTGCTAGAGCAACATTGTAACTTGAAATAAAATGCAAAGTTTCATTGCAAACACCGAATGAGTTAAAAAATATATTATTTATTACACAGCTAATTCAATCAGTTTAATACACTTGAACCGGCAAGATCTTAGAATAAAAAAAAGTGAAATAAATTCGGCAAGTAGCAATAAAAGAAATATTTATGCAGTTTATCCCGCCAGGTGTTGCAGAGTTCGAGTTAATAAATCTGAGCGAAACGATTCGTCTGTCCGATCCTCTCGCGGCCATATTATTACGGAAGCATCGGAGCCACAGACTTGCAGCTAGTAATTCCGATTGCTTTAATTACAGGAATCACGCGATTAATTATAGCAATTACCGCAATCCCTTAGGGCTGCCGCCTTTCGAAAGTAAATATATCTCAATCGATGCCTACTCCTCTCGCACTTCCGTTGCATTCAAATTCCCTGTGGATGTCTGTCGCGGAATTTTCCTGTCGCTTTTCCACCTATAGCTACGTGTACGTGTATAATACACAGGTATCGGTTGACCCGATTCGCGACCCTCGCCAGCTGCTACCATTTTATTGCTATCGCGTTTCCCGACGGAAACTCGCGTCCAACGTGACCGGCGACCCACATTGCTCTAATATCGCCGATTCTTATTCGACGCGAATCGAATCCTGAAGAAAACTATACGTTGACGGGTGCAAACGGACGGTAACCGATCAGATACCTCGCGAGCCAGTTTCCCTTATTTAGGAATCTGAAGTTAACTGCAATGCTAGACTGGCGAGAGTTTGGACATTTGAGGATTTGAAGGAGTTGGAAATTTCAACATTAGGTAGTTTGTAAATGTAGAGATGTAAGAATAATTTACAAATTAACTTATAGATTTCTGTATTGTCTAAATAAAGTAAATACGAATGCCCAAGTTAGCTAGCCATCGACCCTACTCCACAATTGCCCAGTATTTAACCCTCCCTAATTAACCCCACTCCCGACCTTCAATTTCGAAAACTAAAAATCCACCCTCCGTAATAAAGTAATTTCCCTCTCAACACCTGCATCGAAAAAAGCGATCGCCTAAAGAAACGATACTCCCATATGATAACTAACATCAAAATGGGCCACGGCCATTTTGTATGCTCAGAAGAGGTAACAAGGAGCGAACACAGCAAATTACAAGTATTATTCTCGTTTATCGATCGACACGGTCATCTATAACTATTACACCGCGTACTTACGCGAACCATCCTATAATCAACCGGCACACTTTTTCAAAGTATTCATCAAGCTGTCCAAATTAGCAGTCCTAAGCTCAGTTCCCTAACAATCTTCTCACGGAAGCAGAAGCCGTAGATATTTCTTGACCAACGGTCATTACGCTGCCAGTTTCGCTTTCTCCCTCGTTCAACGTGTCTATCCTCCTCTCGTTCGCTCCTCTCCGCTCGTGTAATCCCTTTCGTCTAATTACAGGAATTATTTAATTAATTATAGCAATTAGCGGGCCCGTGTCAACTTCCACGAATGCATACGTCACCGTACAGCCGGTCACTCTTTTTTTTCTCGCCCCGGTACACGCGGTTCGGAAGACGCGCGTCCGATTTCTTTTTTTTTTCCTCCGTATTTCTTTTTCTTTTGGGGCTCGCGCGAGGGGCAGCAGCCCGGCTCCTTCCTCGTGGAAGAAAAAGAAACGGAGGCCGGCCGTAAAAATCATTAATAGAAAGGCTTACGCGGTGCTTTCGTGGCTCGTTCGTGTGTGAGAAAGCGGACCCGAGGGGCAATCAGAGGGCAGAAGAAGGGGGTGTGGGCCCCGTTAAAGAGGAGAGCGTAAAGAGCCTGGAATTCTGGCGTGTAGCAAGAAATATAGGACAGCCGGGTCTGGATAAAAAAAAGGGGGTGGGTCCCGGCTACGATTTGCCACGGACCCTACAGTTTATGTATGTGGTGCGTGCTCGAGGTTCCACGGGGTCCCGTGGACGATCCACCATACTTTCCTAGACATTTTCTTTCTTTCAAAAAAATTTACAAATCTAGTTCTATATTCGCAAGCTAAGCTGAAAGTCACAGCAACCTAATCATTGATTGTCTTATTTTTAAACATTGTCTTCATTTAACATCCTTAATTTGTACTTTGATGGAGGACAATTTGTGATCAAGTTTTGTATGACACGATGAAGTTACATTCGTGAGTTAAGTCCAGAGACATTCAGCAAGCTAATCATTGATTACCTTGTCTTATCTTTAGTCATTGAAGAACATTGTCTTCATTTAACATCTTTAATATGCACTTTGACAGAGAACAATTTATGATCAAGTTTTATATGGAACGATAAAGTGAAGTTAACTTAAGAACCTGAAGATTAGGTACCTTAACAATTTATTGATTAATTTTGAAAATGTTCATGGATGATACATGTTATACATTGTGAAAAAGGGAATAAAATCGATGAAGTATCCATCACACCTTGACCTATTAGAGAAAACGCAATTACGTTCCAATTCATTATTTCTGTGTAAACATTCGAGCAACGCGGGTACCGCAAACGCCCCGTTCCGTCGCGCATGCGCGTTTCGTGCGGATTACGCGGCGATAAAGGGAATAAACAACCGCGATGTAACTCGTAAGGCGGGAGTCTAATTACGGGAATCCAATTAGCAAGCGTAAGCTCGAGCGCTTCCGTGCTCGTTCGATTCGCTATTTCGTCTGATTCCACGAAGCGACCGAGAAGAGTCAAGGTGACGACACGTTTCATACCGAACGTTCACGATTTCTCGCT